TCATCAATTTTGTCTTAGGCTGCGAGTTGAATGCCTGGCTCCAAGGCGTTCTGTGCCCTCTTCAGTGACTACACAGACACACTTGAATATCAAAGAAGTTTAATACGCTGCCATAAAATAAGCGCCTTGAAAAAGCTCATGGAATAGGTGTCAATGTTAGAGAAACCCTTCCCACACATCCCTCTGGCTCCACACCCCATCCCTCAAAACCAAACAAGAATCTGAAACAACACAGGAAATCCTTCCAAGCTTGGATTTCAGTGAGGGCCCCTCTACCAATAACAAGAACGCAGTTTCCTACATGGCCTAATAGGAAAGCAAAACACAGAAGCACAAGAAGTCTACAAGATTTCAATATTTAAGAGACTTGGTACATATCAAAGTTAAAATAACTCCAACTTTTATAGCTATACATATTGTTTTAAAGCAACTTAATATATTTTTAAATTTTATATATACACTCTCAAAGGTTCTTCAGGTGAGGTATGTAAACATTGTCTAATGAAAAATTTCAATGTTTCAAACCAACAAATTCACAGCATACATTGAATTTTCATCCATTAAAGACACAGTATATTCCTACACTCACTAACATAGTAGAAATCCAGGCCCAAGAGATACAGACTGATCTTCCGGGTTGCCACTTGCAGAATTTCTCATTTCACTGCTTCTGGAAAGACACCGTCACATAGGCCAGGAGGACACGCTTGGTACCAGGACAACGCTAGGCCCTCTGGAGGCTCTGTCCTTGGGCAGCTGGATCACTGGCTAAGACTCACAAGACAGCAAAAAGGAGCACAACTGAACAACTACAAGATCGACCTCGGCAATGACAACACTGGGAGAAACCAGAAAGACCTTTAAAGGAACGGTAGAGATTCATTTTAGAGCTCCCTGAATCCACAGCTGGATCAGCAGCCCTGCCCTAAATGCATTCAGAAGGGTTGCGGCCTAGTAAGAATAAAAATCCAACGTGGCACCTGAGCTTCAGTTAAATTGCATGGGCCTCCTACGGCTCCCTGGCCCCTCAAAGGCATTCACGCTAGCCTCAGTTAGGGCCCTGGGCTGTGCTTTTCATACAGGTTGGGGTTGAATTTCTTAGTATCATAATGCAAATGGGGAAATAATGCCATGAGTTTACAAAGATGACCAATGCTTGCACACAGGCATCAGCCAATGACCTTGGAGGAGCTCAATTTTGAAAACTACTTGTTCCCTGAGGGTAAACAGCAGGCTTCTGTTGAGATTAAGTGAGGCTAATAAGGGGATTTTTCATACAAGGTAATAAGACTTGGGGAGCCTCAGGCCAGAATTCTATTGTACCCCCACATAATCTACAATGCCCCATTCCCCCCACCCCCTACCACCACAAGAAGTAGTCACCTCCCCAATGATACAATACAGGTCAATTTCTTTCCTCTTGCTTGCCTTCAGGCTCAGCAACGGAAAGTTTTATCCTAATGCACCCACTTCAATCTAAAAAAACACTAGTGAAAAGTTCCAAACACCATCATAAATACAAAAGAGAAGACATATTCCAAAAGCCTAAAAAACTACATTACTTCTATTCATGGTTATCTGGGTGTGGGGTATTTTCTTCACAAAGTTTAGGACGGTCAAAAAGAGAGGCTGCTTAACAGCTTTAGAAATCTGCTGAACTGGACACGCTGGGAGAGATGGAGGAGTGACTGCCCCCTATACTGACCTACATGGTTTAATCCCAGACACCAAGGCAGCTTTAGACATTTCAAGCCCAGGAACAGAAGAGGCTTATAGGAAATGGGCTAGCTTTTAAAGGTAGGTCAAATATAGCCAAAAGACATTTAATTGGCCACTTAAATTTCCATTGTAACAAGTCTTACATTCACTCTACAGCCAAATGAGCTTTGCCTCAACTAGATTCTGGGAACCCTATACATTCATGAAAAATTGCAAATGTTTCAATCTATACGCCCAATCTTGATGTGTCTGGTGTTGGCAGATTTCTCATCCACTGATAGAGTTCTATGACATGAAGGAGTGTGCAGACAAACAGAAGGAAAAATTCAAGTACAGCAACCTCTCCGGCAAAGGCAAGAGGTCTTAGCAAGAGCTGTTCTACCCCCACCCTATCCTCTGAGACAAGGGCCAGTGCGGCCCCGGAATAAATGTTATTACCTAGGATCTTATTGCTTATGGGCAACACATCAGAAAGAACACCTGGAAATCTGCTCTGCAGATCTGGGTACTGACCGCTGACCAGTTTATCACACACCTGTATGTATGTGTGTGTATGTATATATATATGTGTATATATATAAAATATAACCAGATGAGAAGAGGGGGCAGTTAAAGCTTAGATTTGATGTAACATTACAGATCAAATGCCCCAAACAGCTCTCAACCTGCTGGTTTTTGTTCTTTCTCCATGTGTGAACTGTGTTATGAAAGGAAGTCCACTGCTCAAAATATATCTATAATACTACAATGCAAACCAACATCACTCAGAACATGAATTTGTATACGGCACAGATAATAAATATTTTTAGAAAACTATTTACAACATTACTTCTTGTGAACATTTAGATGACAGCAAAATTTATTTCTTCCTGCAAAGTTAAAAAAGTTCTGACCGTCTAGTTCAGTGCTAAATTCCCTGGCACCTAGTTTCTCATTCACATTTCATCTTAAAATCAGATTTGCTTACAAACAGTTTCTTAGAAAAAACATTCTCCAGCACTACTGTTCAAGTGTCTGCCTCATTTGTTTAGAAAAGACAAAGGGAGGCCTTAAGAAAATATGCAAATAATGGTTCAATTGGATAACAAAACTCCCTGCACGACTAGTCCCAAAGCGCCCTGCTGTCCTGGAGTTGCAATTCTCAGTCCAGCCAGCCCTGTACAATAAGGATCATGACTCACATGGGGGTGCCCAAGGACAGAGCACAGGGAAAAGGAACATGATCATAAAGCACTGGTTCCATCCCATTTAGGGGTGCTCTGAATTGTAGGACAGGACTCCTGAGAAGTAAAGCTGACCACATCTTAGAACAGACGGTCTCATTCTGTAACCACTGGCTACAGAGGGACTGGCCCACATCTGCACAGATGCATGCTGAGACAGGGAGAGAGGGGAGGAGGAGAAAGAGCCAGGTGCTCACAAGCATTGTCAAGGTGCAAAAGGTAACATGCTTTTCTCCCATGATTAATGAGTGTGAATAGATGCCTTTCACCAACATGAGAGAAGGACTGGAAATACACCTTAATGCTTTCTTCAGGCGACCAGTGGTTTCTCCATATCTCACAGGCATGGGTTTGGATTTCCTTGGGGCTACAACTAAGGCTCATTTTCCTGTACAGGTTGTTAAGTGTACAGCTGAAAGTACCAACCATACATGCAAGAAGTAGGCTGCATGGGGCATGTCTGATGCCATGCCTGGCACAGCCATACCCATGATAGGAGTCTCACTTTGTTGTGAGACGGGGTGACAGTGTGGAGATGCATTTATGTTGCATCTGTCCAAATAGTGTGAAGATTTCAAGGCCACACCTTTCTGCCTTCACTGTTGTCTGGGGCCTCAATGGTTGAGCATGGTAGCTGGGGAGGATGGGTGGCTAGAAAGAACACTTTTTGGAAAGCCCTTTTGACAGTTAATTTTCTTGTTAAAATAAATACTTTCTATAGAAGTATTTGAACAGGAAAATATTATTTACACAGTGAAATAAATTCCACAGTGATGTGTATATTATATACATATATTTGAAACCAGTTACTAACACAGTCTCTGACAACTATGTAGAATGCAGAAACTACACTAGTGAAATCAATAACCTTAAGCTATAGTGGCTCTAAAAATAATCCCTACCTGTGGTATAAATATACAAAATTATGCAAATCTTGCTTGTATAGTCTCTTTCCAACAAATTAGCTCCCAAATACCACAGCTTTAGCTACAAGACAACTATGAGGTGCAGATCATAGAAATCTGGGGTCAAAAAAAGTAGTAGATAAACTGAATAGCATTTGGACCCAACAGCTAAATACTAGAGGAAAAATAGAGTTTTGAGAGAACAATGCTTCTAATGTGACACATGTGTGTTCAGGGCAGCACTGGGGGAGTGCGGACTGTCCCAGAGAAGATGCCTCCTGGAAGGGGGCTGGCAGCATGAGCAGAGGCAGAGGAGGAAGGGCAAGGTGCCAAGGATGGCTCCTCAGAACGAGCAGGTGACTTGGCTGGAGGGCCCCGAACTTGTTTTGTCTAAAGCTGCTGGTGTCCTGACAAGAAGCCACAGACATGCTGGTATTTTTAAAAGACTGTGTGGTCTGCACTTGAAAGTCAAACAGGCAAACACCAGGCATTTATGTTCACATATCACGACCAGAGCTTGAAGAGTGAGAAACTTGCAAGTGTACGATAGAAGACAGAAATGAAGGCTTCTAGGAGCAAAACCAACACATTGTGTACTTTCGGGGAGAGGCACTATTCTTGGCTTTAAGTTCATGAGTAACTTGCTTGTGCTGAACTGCTGTTAATGGAATGTCTCTCTACCAGAGTCATGTTCACCGATTCATCAAAATGAAGACTGTACTTTTAAAGACTGCACTTTTAGTTTTAACTACATACCCTAATAGATATGATCACATGCCCACAATTCATTAACAAGTAGATAACTGGCAAAGGGGGATAATGTTTCTTTTCTGCAAAAGCACTGTTCAGGAATAACGTGTATCAGCAGCTGTGTACCGAGATGAACAGGCAAGATACTCTAAAATCTACAAGAATTGTGGCAATGTCGGACTACATGAAGAAAACAAAGTTGTGTGTGTCTACACAATTTGATCTTGAATTCCAAGGACCAGTAGAGCTTTTCTACAAAAGGGTCAGGAAGTAAATATTTTAGGGTATGTGGGCCACATATAGTCTCCATTATTTATTTTTTTACATAACCCCTTAAAAATGGGTAAAAAATCCATTTGTTCAACCCCTGGCATGTTGTAATACCATGAGTACCTGATTTTTCTTTTTTAATGGACAGTCTCTGCTTTCATGAGACATGTATACTGAGCACCCCATGTGGGATGGTCCCAGCTAGGGGAGAAAGTTTCTGAGTTTGTGCTCACCTGGCAGCATAACCACACGTTGCCCCTCTGAAGGATGGAGCAAAGGGCATCACCTGAGCACTGAGCATCAAGCACTGAAGCTTTGGGAAAAGGAAGATCAGACAGAGAGGAGGGAAGTGGAAGGAACTGACCAGCTTCGGTTCAATCCCAAGGCAAAAGCCTGAGCAAGGACACACTCCACAAGTGCTCAGGGTGATTTCCCGGGCCCCAGGATGGCATGGCACGGCACAGTACAACACAATACAGCAAAGTCCTGAGAACTCTGGGTTTCTGCCCAAGTCTGATTATCTACAAAGGAAAGAGGCTAGACCCTCAAGTCTTCTAATCCATCCATTGTAGAATACAGGACTCAGTTCTGATGTTCCAAGGGATGAATTATATTGAAGGCTGCCTCAAAAGACTTCCCAGTCTGGGCAACACAGCGAGACCTTATCTCTGCTAAAACTTAAAAAAAAAAAAAAAAAAAAAAAAAGCTGGGTGTAGTGGCATGTGCCTGTAGTCCCAGATACTCAGGAGGCTGAGGTGTGAAAATCTCTTTGAGTCTGGGAAGACAACCGTAAAAAACTGCACTTTTAAGCTATATGATCATATGCCCACTACACTCCAGCCTGGGTGTCTAAATAAAAAAAATAAAAAGGCAGCTTCCCACAATTCTGCTTCTTTCAAATACAATAATCTTTTCATTTTCCCCTGAAAAGAATTTGAGAGCAAGTATGGGGAAGAGCACTTACTGCTAGGATATGAAGACTGCCTTACACAGATGTGATTTCATACTTAAAAAAAATATCCAGTATTTCAGTGGATATCAAGTCATAAGACATCAAAGTAACACTAAGAATTAAAAATAATAATTTTCAGTTTCAAGACAACTAAAACAATCACTAATTTGGGGCCACTGACAAAAGTTTTTCACTGACAGGACATTCAACCACATTTAAAAACAACGGCACAGAAACTTATATTTGTGTTGGTGCGGTGGCTCACACCCATAATCCCAGCACTTTGGGAAGCTGAGGTGGGAGCGCAGCTTGAGGCCAGGAGTTTGAGATCAGCCTGGGCAACATAGCATAACCTTGTCTCTACTTAAAACAAACAAAAAAAGATTACATATAACTTATCCTTGAGTTTTTGGAGCAGGAGGAAGACTATAATAGCTTTTCAGTCATACTCTGGTTATAACTCCAATTTTTAAAATCATTATTAAAGCACTCCAAAAGCCTCTATGTTTTGTTGGGTTACCTTTAATAAAATTATTTTGAAAGTATGTGACTAAAAAGGTATCAGTGCCAACTCTTTATTTTTCTAAAAGCTGACCAAAATATTAGAAAAACAATGCTTTAAAAAATAAAAAATAAAAAAAAGAAAAATAATGCTTTGGGTTTGTGATCAGACTTGGTTTCTACTTGTGTGAGAAACGTTTTACGCATCTAAATGTGACATTCAAAGCACTAAAAGTCCAACTAAAGTAGTCTCAACTAATTTTACCAGCAACAAAATCTTGGCTTACTTTACTAAACAATAAATAAAGCCAGTATCAGTTCTGTGTGAGTGAGAGGCCCAGGACATGTAATTTTAGAACTCCGAATCCCTATTTGCCCATGGGTTCAGACTCTATAGGGTAAGGTGGCCTTGTTTTGGCTACTGTGATGGTTGATTTTAAGAAAGATGGAATGCTAAGTTTACTCAAGTTTAAGAGGGTGGTAGTGTGTGTCGATATAACATGTCTCCTTTGCAGCAAGAATAAAGAGGTGTAAAAGAAAAAAACATAATTGAGACAAGGAAAATGGCAAATACAGAAGAACAGAGAGAAAGGGGCAGAAGAAAGAAGGAAAATCAGAGAATATTTGTTCCTGAAAAAGGATGACTTTCTCAAGCAGGGATCAGATGTTTTCTGAAGGTCCAGACAGTAAGTATCTTAGGCTGTGAGGGCCACAAGGGTCTCTGCTGCAGCTACTCAACTCTACTCTTGCAGTGCGAAAGCAGCCACAGACATAAGAAAATGGGTGTAGCTATATTCCAAACACATTCTGCTTACACAAACAAGTGACCAGCCCACAGTTTGCAGACCCTTGATAGATCATCTGGAATCCAAAAGGCAGCCTGCACAGGCTGACCTAAAACCAAAAGGAACGGGGATGGCTCTCTGGGCTACTGGCCAGCACCTTGGGATATTCCAGCCCAGTCCTAAGTGTTGTGACAAGACACAGAACCTGCTGATGGTTAACATTACAGCATCTCCAGCTTGCATTGCATAGCATGCTATGTTTTCCTACTTGGCACTTAGGTCCACTAATCAACAGGAATGCTGTCCATAAATGTGAATGACAGCTCCAACCCTCACCACAGAACCCATCACAAAGCAGGAAAAGAGGCCAAACCTTAATTCAAAGTAACTATCTTGAAGTGATGCCTTTTACTGATGACCTAACTGAACAATGAGAAATTCACCTGCATAGTATGTGACGCATAGAGGATCCCATTAGAAAGCACCAAATATGTAAAGGGATGACTAAGGGTACCTCTTCTATCCATACTATTTTAGGAACAATACACGCAGGAGACTCACAGCCTGCAGAGAAGTCTTCACTAAGGAATCCAAGGGGCCAGCAGCTACTGACTTAGACACTAATAGCATTCCTATGAAGGAAGCCCCAGGAGCAGAACACAGGTTTGCAACCTTCCTGCTGTACTCCAAGATAGCTACCTGTCGGAGGAAGTGCTAGCTGGAGACCCTAAGTGAGGGAGCGGTTTCCTGGGTGTCCACCTACAGAGGGAGCCTCATAGGATAGAAGATGGGTGTTCTGAAGAGGGCCCTCCTCTTGGGGAGCTATGGCAGAGCTTCAGTGATTACTTCCCAGGCATCTACCAGCATCTCCAGAAACTCAGAGAATACCATAATCCTCTGGTCATCAACTTCAGCCCCAAGACTGGGATGGTCACTTCACCAAGTGTACACCCAGGAGCAGAATTCCTTTCTGATTTGGAATCAGAATGTGGGATAGACTGCTTTTGCATCTGGTGGTGGGCCATTCTTGAAGATGGCTCTAGGAAGATTTCTGCAAGGGAGGGAAAACTAACCAACTTGACTCAATACCCAACCTGAGCTTGGAGATGTCTAGGAAACTGCTTTGCCAGTACCTGCTGTAGGTATCAAACGGCCTTTTGGGATTGGCCCTCAAGTTTTGCTGTTTTCTTTTTTCTAAAACAAAACTAGCTGAATCAGCAAAAATGAGATTCAACAAATATAAAAAATTCTAAACTTTCAAGTGTTATAATTATGTAGACTCTCGGTCTATTTAAATGTCCTTATTATAAAGTATAAGTTGATTTTAAAGATGATCCATTGCATTGTTAGGTATGTAAGATACATAGATATACATTAACACCTTTTCTTACACACAGCCTAGAATGGGAAAGAAGGCTATTAAGTGAGCTTTTAAAAATGAAAAATAACTTAGAAAAGGAATGGAATGAGTTACACACTTGGAACTGGAAAAGTTCCACCCGCTTGCTACCTTACTCCTCTCCCTAACCTAATCCAAGCACCTTACAAGGTAGTCTGTATGCAGCCAAGGGGGCACCTCTAATGTACAGGAATCAGCATGCCTGCCATTGGCAAACATCAGCTGTTTAAGTCACCACAAAAACAATATCCAGTGACAACTATATGAAAAGATATTCTTAAAACCTTAAAACCATTTTTTAAGATTAAATGAACCTATTCAAAACATATTAATGCTTCTGTGCAACTTAATGCTGAGAAAGGGTTGCCAATATACACACTCAGCAGTTTTATTAATATAGGTAGCTCTTGAATGGCCAGAGTCAAAGATAATAAAAAGAAAAACAAAAGACTCATCAGACAGAGAAGACATTAAAACAAATCAGGGCTTCATAAAATAGCAAGCTTCTCTAGCTATGAAATTCAACACAATTCTAAATTTCTCATAAATCAAATGCTTTTCTCCAGTCTTATCCAATCATCAGAAGTTTCCATGATATACAGCAAACCTTTAACAGAATGGGTAGAAGGCCTGTATTATCATGATTCGCATGAAAAAAGTCCATCTGGGCTTATCTAAAGAGATCTGAAACAACCTAAATGGAAAATGTTTAAATGAAATGGACAGGGCCACAGCTGTCCATACAAGCTGATTTTGGTGACAGAACAGGTTAAACAAGCTGGTTGGGGCTTCAGCAGCCAAGCCTTTTTTTGTAGAGCAGCCCAATGGAAAAGTCAAGTACACACTTCGCTATAATGGAGCAAGGTCATAAGCACTAGGCTAAAGCCAATGCACCTGTCTCAGGCTTCACCTGGGAAAAGCACAAAAAGTCAGTGAAAATATTGTAGTTCTCACTTCTGAGACATGGAACAGAGCATGACATGATATGGCAGGAGTGATACTACAAGCATTTAACTACTAGGATGGCATTAATCAATCAGAATGAACATCTACTCCAACAACTACATTCACACTGGAGCCCACAGCTGCACATCAGCTCTGGGTGTAGGGGATGTGGGGACTCCCCACAGATGTTGGAGCTGCTTCCTCTCACTGCAAGGCTACTCTAACCTTTACATAACTCCGACTGTTTTAGATCTGGGTCTGGTACTATAGTGGTATTAGAGATGCTCACAGAGATACTGGGCTACCTTTAAACCACCTGTTCTTTGCTAATTACTCAACTCAGGGACACCCAAACACTGCATGGGGAAGAAAAAATTTTACTGTAAAACCGGGATTTGGAGACATTTGTGGCTGATAACCACATGTAAATGCACCCAAGCACACATGGACATACACACTCTTAAACCTTTCTATTACTGCAAATATTTCGGCTTTCTTTGAATATGGAAATACTCTGGGCAAGAAAGAAAATAAGAACAGTCATTTTCATCCTAATCATCAAATTACAGCTACAAGATAAAAAAAAAAAAATCCTGGACTTTTTCCTCCCAAAGTTATATATTATATATACTCCCAAAGTATATATAATAAACAACTTTCCTTAGCCTCAGAGAAAGACTCTGCAAGTTCCCTTGTCCGTCTAATAATCTATATTCTAAGAATTCAGTCTTCTAACAAGACCCTTGCAGCTGGCCTCTTGGCAGCAGGAGTGCTAGCAAGGCCAGAAATGAAGATGGTGAGAATCAGTAATGCAGTTTGGGGATGCAAATGATTTTTTAGAAGTTATCAACAAAAATTAACACTTGTGACATACACATGCTCTCAAATGACAAAACATCAAAGGTGAGAGGAGGAAACAACAATTAATGTGATCTTTTTAAAAAGGGGGTAACAGAAATAGTAATCTTTTATAATAATTATAAATCCTCTGCATACCATAAAAATGATTTGGTTTAGCTTTCAAATATCATCTAAACAAACAAGACAGAGAGGGAAGTTCACTGCTGGGGTTTGCAAAGAGGGGTATCTGTTGGTGGGCAGACGCTGCAGGGTGGCTGCTGAAAAGCTCCTTTGATGTGCATGATGGTGGTCTTCTCGGCTACAGTACAAGTGCTTGTGCATCAAGTATAAAATACAAGCCTTTAATCACATAGATCAGCTTTTTAGCTTTTGTAAATTTAAAAACAAAAAGGATAAATAAGGCACTGTACTTTTAAAAACAAAAACTGCTTGGTTCCAAGTTTAAAACCCAAGGAACAACCAGAATATAATATATAACTTCCCTTAGCCTCAGAGAAGGACTCTGCAAGTTCCCTTCTCCATCTGAGATGCATTTTCTGACATCTCAAATTACGCTGTTCTCCATTAACTGTAAATTTGAAAGGCTTGATAAGCTTATAAAAGCAGATTTAGTTAATGCAAAATAAAAGGTTACTTCTATAGAACAGTTTTATTCTTGGTTACCATTTTCCAATCACTTTGCATCCAGCCGCCTCCGTTTGCTGTGCGAAGAGTCCAGCTTTGCCTTCAGCTTTCGCTTTCTCTGAGCTGCACTGCTCTCTGGGGTTTTCGTCAGGGGTCTGGCCCGAGTCTTTCCACTACTCTGCTTCCTATTCGTGGCCTTCTGGGGCCTTGAAGAGGATTCACCTGCCCCCTTCTGTTTTACAGGTTTTGTCAGTGTTTCCGAGGCAATAGGCCTTTTGTTTGTATTCTCCTTTTCTTTCCTGGAGGGAGGGCAGCTCTTCCCAGGGGACTTTTTAGGGATCTTCCCTTTATTCTCTTTCAAAGACATCTTTTTCGGGAGTTGGCTGCTTCTGTCCCTTGCAGCTGGCCTCTTGGCGGCAGGGGTTTTGGTGGATCCATCAGCATGCTTTTCTTTGCTGGCTTTCACCGCAGGCCCCTTGTTCTTACTATCAGGAGGGCTGCTGCCTTCTGTTCTCTTGCGTTTACTCCGAACTTCTGCTTTAGGCAAGATTTCAGGCACCTGCTTCCCTTTCCTTCCCTTCATTCCTTCAGTACTCTTGGGCTTAACAGGAAACCCATCTGCATCTACTTGCAGGGCAAGCTTGGGGGACATCAGAGGATTGATGCATACGCTCTTACGACTTGTTTTACTTTCCACAGCCAGACCGTCTGGGCGTTCCATTTTCTCATTCTTGATTAAACGTTGCTGGGCTCTGAGCTTTCCTCGAATATTGGAATATTTTCTAAGAATCCGAGTACTGGCTGGAGTGGGCAGGTTGGCTGGAGGATGGCTGTTTCTATCTTCCTTGACTTCCTCTATGCTGTCTTCAGAATTACGGTTGGGGCTAACATCACTGCCATCCTCTGGCTCCACCTGGTCAGGATTCTCTCGAAATTTAGCCCAGAGCTTCTGCGTTTTCCAATTATTCCTAGCAGGAGTAGCTCCAGGAAATTTCTTCAAGTGTTTTTTCAAGCGTTCAGCCTGCAGTGAACTAGGATACAGGCTGGAAGGAGCGTATTTCTGAAGTGGATGCTTGACAGGGGGAACGTCTCCTGGAAGACGAGTATTGAGCTTCTTCACAATGACTAGAGACCGGGTTTCAGTTGTCTCTAAGAACCATTTACAAACATTAGATAATTTAAAGTTTGTCATAAACAGCATCTGAACAGGAGAAAACTTCTGACCCTCCAAAGCACCCCTGCATTTTCGTGACCTTTTCTTGCTTTTCCAAATCTCCTTCAGTTTATCTGATTTGTTCCTTGCTCTTGGTGTTGGCTGTCCTTCTTTCTCCAACTGGATCCAGCCCTTCTGAACTTTCATGTACTGGGCATTGAAGTTGGCGATGAGCTCTTGGTTCTCCTCCTCAGCACACCATTCCATAAACTTTGGCTGTTCATCTACCACGGTGTCAACATCATCTTCATCTAGGTGATCTCCACTCTCTGAAGCTCTGTTTTCCTTTGGCAATGGGGGGTTTACTTGTGCAGCCTCCTTTTCTGAAGTCACTTTTGAAGCATCCAAGGAGCCCAGAGAATGAGCGTGTCTTAGGTTGTAGGTTGAAGAGGTCAATCTTTTAGGCCTTGGCACCAATTTTGGTGGCCTAGCAGCATCACCACTTCCACTACTCGACAACCCAAGAGAGCTGCATGGGGCATCACTGTCATCATCTTTCTGCTGTGTATTTTCTCTGTCTGCCTCATTCACAGCCTCCTCCGCATGCTGTGTGGGAAGATGCCCTGGCTCTTCTTTTGCCTGTTCTGGGTCCCTCTTACAAGGAATACGTTCTGAGGGGATATGAGCATTCTTCTCATCTGTTTTAGACTCAACATAGATTTCTAGTCTCTCTCCAGGCAGTGGTTGTCCAGCTGTGGTTATGGGGTCCTTGCTGGGGAAAATCTCTCCTCCTAACTCCTTGACTTCTTTGCCCAGCATGTTTTTCAAAGTCTGCCTGGTGATGACCCCACCGCTTTCACCCTCCTGCTCGGCATGTTTCTTAGGCGGGCATTCGCTGACACTTGGCTTTTCTGTGTCTTCCAGAGCTTCCGTGTGGAAACCGTCAGGTGGAAGGCCCTCAGGTGTTGCCCCACTAGGGTGCCATTCTTTTCTTGAACGTTTTGCACCAGGATTTTTAGAAATCTTGATTTCAAGACAAGCTGAGGAAGAATTTGAACTTTGATTTCTTAAGCATCTGTCAGTAGAGGAAGAATCCAAAAGTTGACTTCTTAGGCACCTATCAGAGGCCTCAAGGAATTTTTTACCTTTTTTCTTCTTGTCCAAATTCTCTTCGAGTGAGTCAGTGCTTGGCTCATATGTGTCTTTTTCTGACAGGCATTTCGTTTCACCATCCTCTCCCTCTAATTTTCCTGTACCACCTGCTGCCTCACCTTCCTCAGTTTCACTGGGCTTTTCATCAGTAAAAGTGCCGCTTTCCTTCAAGAGTGGGTCGACATCTAGCGTCTGGGTTTCTCCAGGCTCAACCTCAGCACTGATGCTTTGGTCATCCTCAGCCTTGTCCAGACTCATGGGAGGCTCCAAGCACAGTGGGGAACTTTGATTTTCTGAGCGCTGAGGACTTTCTTCTCTACTGACTGTTTCAGGAGGAGAATGAGGCCTAGAAATGACATCTTCACTGCCTCCCCCAGAAAAGCTTTCAGTAGAGGGAAGCAGGGGACAGTCCTGGGGTACGCTCATCTCCTCCGTATCCAGCAGGGCAAGTGGTGGTTGGTCGTGTTCAGAAGACATCCCACTTATTGTGGGAGCTGAGACTGTGGAGCCATCTTCTGGCAGGTCCTCTGCAGGAAGTTGAGGAGGGAGAGGCCACACCAGGCTGGAGGCTGTTGTTTCCTCAGACCGAGGGGAGCTGCTCAGATTTGGCTTAATCTCTGTGGGGCAAACCTCAGGCTCTTGAGGTTCTTTTCCAGGTGAAACGTCTCCACCTCCTTCCTCAGGAGAGGTTATTTCCTTGCTAGGTTCTTCAGGGCTGTCTTCTCTGGGAAGCTGCACATCTACTGTATGTCTAGGGGCTGAAGTTGTAATGATCTTCTTAGGAGTGAAAACTGCCTCTGATGCCAACGCTGAGCAGCTAGCTTTTTCCTGGGAGTGTAAATTTCTGGCTAGTGTGCGAACAGTTGGCAGCTCACAACAGTCACCATTGAAAAAGTATCCTCGAGTACTCTTTCTGGCTGTTTTCCGAGAAGATAATATCGATTTTTGATTCTCAAAGTGGCATTCTGTTATTGGTTGACTGATATAAACAACATCACACTGGTTATCATAATCATTTATTCTCAGCCCTGATGCCCTTTTACTTTTCCGAGCTGTCTTAATGGAGGTTGATATCATCTTGGTTCTTGAGTGTCCATTTGCCGCTTTGTGAACAGCTGGCATCGGGCTGGGGCCTAACCAACCATCTTTGGAATGATCAAACTGGCCCTTATCACTGGGATGTAAATGGTAACCCACCTTATTTCTTCCCAGCGAGTGAAGATGGTTCTCTTGCTTTGGCCTTGTGTCTTGTTCATTTGCCTCTAAGTCCTGACGTAAAGGTGTTTTTGAGCTACACTGTAAAGTATTCTCTTTGTCTGCAGTTCTAGGTGAGCTCCCCAAAAACCCTGAGGCCCAAGCCTCTTCTGATAAAGCTTTGAACGAATTTCTTGGAGGAATAATACAGGTATTGCCCTCCTCACTATTCTCAGCTGCCATTTTTACTGTAATTAGACTTTCTACTAAAGCTGAACTCTGCATATGGTCTTTCCCAACCTCACATATGTTCACATTTGTGTCTTGCTCCTGTCCAGTGGTTTGCCCCTCCAAGCTTTTAGGGATGTGGTGGAAGTTCACTGAGGAAGAATTAGATGCAGTGAGGTATCCCGGAGTGAAACTATCCACTGAACTGCTGTTAATAGAATTCGGTTTAGTGGTTGGAAGTTCAGAGGAATCTTTCTGGACAACAGTCAAGGCATTCTCTCTTCCATCTACAGAGTTTGTCTCAGGAGGAGGCTCCTTCGTGGTCTGTTCCGTCAAGTGTAGAGGGCTGTGAGAGTCTACAAACAAATCTATAGAAGCAGGAGACTTCATATCGAGACACAGAGCATCTTTTTCCTTATGTTTGGTGCTTAGCTGGGCACAGCTAGCATTACAAGTGGATACATCCATTGCTCCAGAATCAGAAGGCTGCAGGTCCTCAGTGCCTGGCTGAGATTCAGTATACAGGTCGTTCAGAACACGAATGAATTGCTTTTGATGATGAGTACACAGCTTGACCATAAACTTCTCCAGTGGGGACTTCGACTGATTGTTAGAATCTACTGCTATTGCCTCTGTTGAGTTCTCACTAGACAGACAAAGAAAAAGAAGGTATTAGTATGGTCATTTACCAAAGAACCGTTTTTACATTATAAAATTCACCTGATGTTATTCATTTTATTATTAATTTTTTTTTCTTTTTTGTAGATACAAGGTCTTGCTATGTTGGCCCAGCTGGTCTTGAACTCCTGGCCTAAAGAGATCCTCCTGCCTCAGCCTCCCAAAGTGCTGGGATTACAGGTTGAGCCACCTTGCCTGGCTATCTGTACTATAAAGAGAGTGGGTACTTTGGCCAAAACTGCTTCTAAGTCTGTTCGTATACTTTTGATTCAATAAATAAGAATTATTTACCTAATTATAATATAAAGTTGGCCTGTTATTGTCTCAATTTTTAGTGACAGTATTCTTCATACTTTTTCTTTTTTTAATTTAACCACAGTGTAAGTTTATATTTACAAAGGATACTTCTTCATACTTTAAAAATAATCATTCAAAAATCATTATCTTAAAGAGAAGAAATACTGCAAATACTTTTTTTTTTTTTTTTTTTTTTTTCAAAAAAAAAAAACTAAAATTTTGACCACATTATTAACTCTAGTTGGTCAGCATATACTTTGCTTTATTTTAGGTCTGGGTATTCCTCTTAAATAATCCTTGGTTTATGAGTCCAAAAGACTGACAATAATTGAGGCACACTACAGTACAAATCTTGGTTTAGAAGTAAGTACTTAGATGGTGGCTCACATCTGTAATTTCAGCACTTTTGGAGGTCGAGGTGGGTGGATCACAAGGTCAGGAGTTCAAGACCAGCCTGACCAACATGGTGAAATCCTGTCTCTACTAAAAATACAAAAATTAGCCAGGCGTGGTGTCAGGTGCCCGGAATCCCAGCTATTCAGGAGGCTGAGGCAGAGAATTGTTTGAACCCTGGAAGCGGAGGTTGCAGTGAGCCGAGATCGTGCTACTGCACTCCAGCCTGGGCGACAGAATGAGACTCCATCTCAAAAGAAAAAAAAAAATTACTTAGAGAAATTACAGTTGTGTTTATTTTTTGTTTTTTGTTTTTATGGAGGCAGAGTCTCACTCTGTCACCCTGGCTGGAATGCAGTGGCGCGATCTCGGCTCACTGCAACCTCCGTCTCCCAGGTTCAAGCAATTCTCCTACCTCAGTCTCCCAAGTAGCTGGGACTACAGGTGCACACCACCACACCCAGCTAATTTTTTGTATTTTAATAGAGATGGGGTTTCACCATGTTGCCCAGGCTGGTCTCGAACTCCTGAGCTCAAGCAATCCATCTGCCTCAGCCTCCTAAAGCGCTAGGATTACAGGCATGAGCCACCATGCCTGGCTGAGAACTTAAAATTTTAAGATGGTTTCTCGGCATGACCAATTGGTCATGCTAATGCAGGAATCCTTCTACCTTTCCTGGGAGCAAATGGAATAGAAATCAATAATTTCACATACTTTAAAAGGTGCGATGATAAGCTAGTCCCAATTCACAGTCTCTGAAGTGAGGAGACAGATATGAGGCCACACTAAACTATACAGGCCTATACTGCAAGGTTAGTAGTATTGTATCTTCACTCAAGGTCCACTTGCTACATTCTCCTAGACCTTCAGTACATCTTTTACAATCATGAACAAGAAATCATTCTATGTTAAAAACCCCTTTCTGCCATTTAAGTAAGTCACCCAGGACAAATCCTTAGGGCTTATCGTGACAGTTGGGGCTGTGTGAAAGGGTGATGCTAGATTCAAGTCACGCCACAGGCAATGCCTGCTTAGACAGCCAGGCCTTTCACTAGCTGCTTTGTGCTTCTGGATGTCTGAACCCATGCAGTTGCTCCAGTTTCCTGGAGTTTTATATAATTTCTCAAACTCCCTCTCTGTATGGATTATAATTCCTCAGGAGACTATTATGTGACTTGACATGAAATAGGGCAGAGCACAGAAGCAGCTTAAATACTATCAAACAGATGTTGTTTGATAGTATCTTCTGGCTAATTCTTTTCTTCAGTCTTTGACTTTTCTGTCCCAGTCATGAGGCACCTTTACAAGGAAGGCTGACCCTAGGCAACCCACATCACCCCTACCTTCCTTCCCACCCTCCACTGGCTTCTGAGCAGTGGGGTCATAGTGGAAAGAGCACAGGCTATGGAATATGGAAATCCGAGATTCCACTTTTGGCTCTGACATTTACTATCTACAGGATCTTAGGCAGTTACTTCATGTCTCTGAACCTTGGTTTCCTCATCTGTAAGCTGCGACTGAGTGTCAGTATCTCAAATAATTGTGAGATATTAGATAACATACATAAAGCATAAAGCACAAAAGGCTAGGTGCTTCAGACAATTTCGGTTTTTGTTCTTGACTTAGGGAGACTTTTAAGATCAAGTGGTGAAAAGATTGCTGAATACGACTAAATACAAAACCAAGAAACCAGTCAAATCTCTTGCTTAACCTAACTGCTTTACCAGAGAGAATAATACACTGTGTTTTTGTTTTCACAATTAGCAAGAAAGCAGTTTTAGTTGGTAGTGCCATGGGTTTCTGAAAGGGCCTACATTAGACCATGGATTTGAAAAACTAGAAATGTCTTAGAAAATGCCTACCTCAAACTTTCCAAGTATAACTGAATTGTGAATACACCAGGAAAAAAGATCATTAAAGCATTACAAAACATACACGAGTATGGTAAACTCCGATGTACCTTCTGGCAATGGGGACAAAATGTGCCAAAGGGAAGAAAAGATGAAAGCAGCTAGGAAAAAAACCTACTGAGTACTTGTCTATCTGTTAAGTGGGCTTAATAAAAAGTTTTTAAAAGGCAATATATGGAATAAGCTCCTCCTGCTTTGCAAAAATGGCAAATATTATCTTCTTCCTTTGGAACAGGCAAGACATCAGTGACACCCTTGGATGAGTGACTGTTAGGACATTTCCAACTTTCAGACTCAATGAGATGTACAAAAGAGCTCAACAGACTCCTCATGCAGCTGCAGACTTTTCTGCTCATGGAGCAGGCAGGAGGTGGTCCCTGCTGAAGGACCCCTGGAGCTCTTTAGGAGGAACTTTGCCGCTATGTCTATCAGGTGGAAGCAACAGCACAACATGTGTTACAGGCTACAGTACTAGTGAGGAGGTGGATAACCAATGAGTAGTCCTGCTATTTACTAGTTATGTGACTCTGTCCAAAACACTTAACTACTTTGGGTCTTAGAAGAGTACCTGCCCCATCTACCAGTTGGGAACTCTCCAAGGAAAAGCCTACACAGTTTATACAAATATCAACTAGTGTCAGTGAATCAAATTAAAAGTGCTTCAGTAAAAATCACTAGGCTAGCTGGGCTTGCTAGCTTGAGCCTGCAGTCCCAGCTATCCCAGCTACTTGGGAGACTTAAGGTAAGAGGATCGCTTGAGCCAAGGGGTTGAGGCTGCAGGGAGCTATGATTATGCCACTGCAGTATAGCTTGGGTGACAGAGTGAGACCCCATATCAACAAACAAACAAGCAAACAAATTTGGAAATCAGGAACATGCATTAATGCTTTCTTATAACCTAAAAAGAGTAAATTCTCTGGAAAAGTTTAACCTTCAAGTACCAAAAATTTTAAAGCAAATATTTAAAGATTCAATTTTTTTTCTGATGGAAGTCTTAAAAAATTATATCATCTTGAACATAATTTATTATTTCCTGATACTTGGGATCATTATCATGTGCACTATTACTGAAGTTTCACTATTATTTTTATTATACTGAACCAAATTATATTAACAGTTTAAGGGGCTACTCAATTAACTAAGTCTGACTTCCTAAAAAGCCACAGTGGTAGCCTGTTTTGTATTAAAATCTTCTTTCTATTGGCTTCCAAACAGTGGCTGATCTTAGCAGTTCTATTTCTACCTTTAGTAGAGAATTTTACTCACTGGCTGAGAAGCCATATCCCATGTGCCAGAATAGTACTTTAAAAATAAATAGGCTCTGAATGAAAGCTTGAGGAATAGTTTTAGGGGTAAATACATGAATTTTCTAATCATAACTTCTGCTGCTCAGGGGCCTTTATTTCTTAGTTCCTGGTTCTTGGATATGTTCCTGATGTTTCCAAGGTAGGTGACTATAAACAAGTAGGATGCCTTTTTAATACATCAAAGAATATACTCGAAGTGCATTTTAGCAGTACACAAAAAAGGTTGACAAAGCTCTGTGAATGGGGTGAAGAAATATCATGGCATCTTATTGTAGAAAAATTGAAGAGATAAATGGTTCTTCCTAATTCAAGAAGTACAATCATTACCTAAGTCTTTGCAAAAATTTTCTGGGTACTGCTTCAGGCCTGTAGCTGGGCTCTGGAAGCAAGTTTTGGTGCTTAGAATTAACAAGATGCCTGGGGATGAATGAAATCAAGGTATGCATCCAATAAGAAGACAGAGTGCTATGAAGAAAGCTGAAGAGGCACTTTCCTCTAAAGGGAGGCTCACACAGAATAAATGAGTAATAATTTAGTCCACAGGTAATATCTAACTTCCTTTATGATTGTGAGACTCTAATCTGCTGCTGTCCCATGTCTCAATAATTTAATAGCACCCCAATCTTTTTATTACCCTTAACTAACGTAAGGTATTCCGAAGGGCCATGCAGCCAGTCCTGAAGCAACAACTGTGGCTAGATAGCTTAAACTAGTCCCCATTAGACAACCACAGGTAGGCAGGAATGTGTTTCACAACCTCATGGCAAAAGGAGGTGGCGTCTTCCATGCCACCCCCTAAGGTATGCAAAAGAAACATGTTCAGGATCCACTGAACTCTAACCTGGAACAATGCAACAAAGCATGTGGATGCTAAAAAACAGTAGTATCATCAGAGAGACTGACAGACTACCCTAACTTTAAGAGACACTTAGAGCAGTAGTTTGTGGAAGCTCAGGAGAATGAAAAAAAAAAAAAAAAACTTTTCTTTTCACAGAACTGCAAATGGCAACCTCCAGAGAAAATGACTTCAATAGAAAAGGCCACTTGTACGTTTTCCTCT